CACAGTCCGCGTCCGAGTCTGTTTGTTCTAGCTTTCACTTTCGCTTTCGACCTTAGAGATTTCTCCCAGCTTCCCCCCGTAGTCCGTATCTGAGTCTATGCCTAGGCTTTCAATAGCTTCTTCCGGCACCCTTTTCGTCCGGCTTTTCCCTAGGCTGTTTGCTAGTCTCTCTCTCCGGTAATTTCCCAGTTCTTCCCGTTTCTTCCCTCCTAAGTTTCATATCCGTCCTAAGTTTCCTATCCGAGCTAGGTTTCCTAATCCGAGTCACGGCACCATTATGTCGCTCCCCCTCTTCGTAGAGGAACGACACAGGACCCTGCGCTGTTCTTTCGTCTGCTCGGCCCTCCCCGGGTTTGCTGCTGGTTCTTCCCGGGTTGGCTACTATCCCTTCCACCTCCGTGGAAGGGCAGTTCCCCCTGGCCACATTCCCCACTTCCGCAGGGGAGCGGCACACCACCGGCCGGCTTTCTCGGGGGCTGCACGGGTTCCCTTAGATGTTCCCCATAGATGTTCCTGGTGCGTGCTGTCTCTCTCCTCCTTTATAGTCCTCCTCCGCCAATCCCAACTCGGCTGCCCACACGCCGAGTACGCTGCTCTCCAATCAGGAGCAAGTCCTACAGTTAATTGGTTGAACTGGAGGCAGCTGCGCGGAAACTGTTTACTTCTCTCCCAGCGCCATATTGTGGGAGAGCAGATGCATAGAATAAGTCTTAATTCCAGTAACTTAGTCCAGTCCGGATTGCTCCCCACAATGAGGAAACTTATATGTATACACTTAACATTTGTACACTTTGTGTTTAAATTTTACATCATACTGAATTCTGGCTAATGATAGAAATGCTAAAGAATACAGACGAAGGGCCAGTGCTGTGGTGTAGCAGATAAAGCTGCTGCCTGTAATTCCGGTATCCCATATAGGCGCCAGTTCAAGTCCCGGCTACTCCACTTCCAATACAGCTCTCTGCTGTGGCCTGGGGAGCAGTGGAGGATGGCCCAAGTCCTTAGGCCCCTGCACCCATGTGGGAGACCCAGAGAAGGTTCCTGGCTCCTTGCTTCGGATTGGCATAGCTCTGGCCATTGCGGCCAACTAGGGAGTGAACCAGTGGATGGAAGACCTGTCTCTCTTTCTCTCTGCATCTCCTTCTCTCTCTCTGTGTAACTCCGACTTTCAAGTAAATAAATATTTTTTTAAAAAAGAATATAGGCGAGATGTCTGCAATTTCTTTGAAATGCATCAAAAATTAAAAGGAATTGATGGATAGGTGGAAGGATGGACAGATGTAAATACTGGTGATGAAACGAGAACAATAAAATGCTAATGGAAGAATCCAGGTAGTGGGTACCATGTCTTTATTGAAAAATTATTTTATTGTATTTTGAAAAATTGTTTCAGCAAACTATTAGGGGGAAGACTTAGTGAGGATAAAGGGCCTCCATTGCTAAATGGACAAAGAACAACTAAACGCTGGCAAAAATTAACAGCCTGCCCAGTGGATGATGCTACCCCACTTCCCTGTGAGTTAAATTCTATCACTAGAGATTCATCCCTTAAATTTTAAAAATATTATTTTTGAGAGGTAGAGCAACAGATGGGCACACACAGGCAGACCAAAAAGAGCTCCTAGGGGCCAGTGCTGTGGTACATGCATCACTGGCATCCCATATGGGCACCGGTTCTGGTCCAGGCTTCTCCTCTTCTCATCCAGCTCTCTGCTATGGGAAAGCAGTGGAAGAGGGCCCAAGCACTTGGGCCGCTGTACCTGCATGGAAGACCAGGAGGAACCTCCTGGCTCCTGGCTCCGGCCCAGCTCCAGCTGTTGAGGCCATCTGGGGAGTGAACCAGCAGATGGAAGACCTTTCTGTCTCTGCCGCTTACTGTAACTCTACCTCTCAAATAAAAAATAAAATCTTTAAAAAAAGATAGAGAGAGAGAGCTGCCATCTGCTGATTCATCCCCCAAATGCCGGCAATGGCCAGGGCTGAGCCAAAGCCTGAGCCAAAGCCTGAGCCAAAGCCAGAGCCAAAGCCAGGAGCCAGGAACTCAGTGTGAGTGGCAGGACCCCAATTACTTGAACCACCACTGCCTCCCAGGATTTGCATTAGCAGGAAGCTGGGATCAGGAGCTGGAGCCAGGAGTCAAAACAAAACTCCAAATGTGAGACGCAGGTATCTTAACCGCTAGGCTAAACGCACACCCTTAACTTAAACTTTGACCCTTGTTGAAATTCAGCCAGTTAAATAATTCCTTATTGGCTCCTTTGGCTCCTTTTCCTGCACTCCCCAGCAGCGTGCTGCTCTGTCCTCTGCCTAGGTGACCACCTTCCTCCCGAGGCGGTCACTTTCATATGCATTTGCTCCAAGATCCAACACTGATTTCTTTCTTAAGGCTGTGTTTGCACACATCCAGCAGACCCACAATTCCTCCTAACGATATCATTTCAAAGCCAGTGTTTTATAAGGCAGACTTGTCTTCCCTCCTATCCCCACTTCACTTCCTGTTTCTCTTGTTTTATATTGGACAGAGCAATCCCATCTGCTGGTTCACTCCCCCAAAAGCCCACGGGATCAAGGACTGGGCCCAGGGCTGAAGCTGGGAGCCAGAGTGTAATCCAGGTCTCCCACGTGGGTGGCAGGAACCCAACTGCTTGAGCCATCATCATTGCCTGTCTGCATTGTCAGGAAGCTGGGGTCAGGAGCCAGGGCTAGTACTGAACCCTGGTCCGCTGAGTGGAACATGCAGTATAACAGCTGGCCTAATGCCTCCCCTATGTCTAGTTCCATTATTAACACTCCCGGTCTTCCCGGGGCACAGGTTTATCTCATTTATGCATCATTCACTTATTCAACAGGCAGTTTCTGGGTTTTACTTGCACTGTCTCTGCTACAACGGTGCTGGACAGAGCGGACGCAATCCCCACTCTCGCGACGTCACTGTGTATTCTGAGCTGGTTCCTCCTTTCTCCTTGCCATGTTTAATGACTCCCTGGGCGGGATTCATGTCAGTTTGATGGCTTCTATGCCCACTCCCCTCCCCCAGCCTCAACCCCGAGCTGGGCCAGGGTTCCGGGGCTTAGTGCTAAGATCAGGAGGAGAGAAGGCACGAGGGGTCATCAGTTCAGCTCCATGTGGGTTATCCCTGGCCATCCACCCATCAGTCCAATGTGTATGGCTCCTTCGGGGCTGGTGGCTGCATGCCTGGGGCTCTGCTTAGGATACTCAAGTCTTTGGAGGCTCCCTCTGCTCTACACCCTACTTTTACTAGACAGTCCTGGTTTATGTTTCCTTCCCTTGTGTAATGATCAAAAGTACCGCCAGGGGCCAGCACTGTGGGCTGTGGCATAGCAGGTAAAGCACCTCTTGCAGTGCCAGCATCCCGTATGGGTGCCAGTTGGAGACCTGGCTGCTCCTCTTCCAATCCAGCTCTCTGCTATGGCCTGGGAAAGCACAGAAGATGACCCAAGTCCTTGGGCCCCTGCATCCCTGTGGGATACCTGGAAGAAACTCCTGGCTCCTGGTTTCAGATCAGCCCAGCTCCAGCCGTTGCAGCCAATTGGGGAGCGAACCAGTGGATGGAAGATCGATCTCTCTCTGAGTCTCTCTCTGGCTACATCTGCCTCTCTGTAACTCTACCTTTCAAGTAAATAAATAACTCTTTAAAAAAAATACCCCCATTGCTAGCACATGGCTCCTGGTTTGGTGAACAGAGACCACCGGTTCCTAAACACACACAGCTGCTTCTAATGTGAGCACCAATTAAAAAAGATTTATTTAATTACTTATTTGAAAGATGGAGCCACTGGAGAGGAGAGACAGAGAGAGAGAGAGACCTTCCATCTGTTGGTTCACTCCCCAAAGGGCTGCATCACCTGGGGCTGAGCCAGCCTCCAGCCAGGAGCCAGGATCTCCATCCAGGTCTCCCACATGGGTGCAGGGGTCCAAGCACTTGAGCTGTCCTCTACTGCCTTCCCAGGCACACGAGCAGGGAGCTGGATGAGAAATGGAGCAGCCAGGATTTGAACTAGCACTTGGCACAGGATGCCAGTTAGCAAGCAGTGGCTTAACTCGCTGCTCCGCAATGCCTGTCTGCACTTACTACTCCTTCACACAGGCGCAGGCCAGCAGAGCCCCTGGTTCCAGGAAGTCTTGGGGAGCTGAGGGCTTCGGGAGCACAGCTGCCTGAGAGGGACTGTCTGTCCCAGGGGACTTCCTATGCTGGTGGCCTTTCAGACACAAAGGTCAGGAAGAGCTGTGGCACCCTCCTGGCTTCTCCACTCAGCACACCCTTGCCTGAGATGGAGGGAGGAAAACACAGAGAAGGGAGGGGCTTCACTGGTGACCTCAAGATATGCCAAATTACCAGGGCCGGCGCAGTGGTGTTAGCAAGTAAATCCGCAGCCTGCAGTGCCGGCATCCCATATGGACGCTGGTTCGAGTCCTGGCTGCTCCACTTCCAATCCAGCTCTCTGCTACGGCCTGGGAAAGCAGTAGAAGACGGCTCAGGTCCTTGGGCTCCCACACCCATGTGGGGGACCTAGAAGAAGCTCCTAGCTCTTGGCTTTGGACCAGCCATTGCAGCCATCTGGGGAGTGAACCAGTGGATGGAAGACCTCTTTCTCTCTCTCTCTCTCTCTCTCTCTCTCTCTCTCTGCCTCTCTGTAGCTCTACCTTTCAAATAAAGAAATAATTCTTTAAAAAAATCTACACTCCCCCCTCCCCTTTCCTCTATGGAAATCAAGACCTTAGGTGTAGACCCATAAATATTTGTTGGAGATAGAAATGTTGATAGCCATTTGCACTTCAGTATGAATCAGTTACAACTCTTTCTAGCACAGGTCTAGAAAAAAAGAAATCTACTTCCTGGAGATTTAAAACACTGAGATGGGAAAACATACTACCAAACTACACTTGGGCCGCCTCTTTGTTTTCCCACTGGGTTCTCTCACTGCCTCTCTGCACCAGGAGCAACAGTACCTGAGCCACTTGATCAGAATCTACACAGTTGGGCAACTGGGCCAGCACCTGCTGAGCCGAGTGAGGCTCTCAGCGGTTTCCACCCCACCAATCTGAAACTCACAGCACAAATGTAAAACTCTGGGGAAAAGCAAAGATCCTCCTGCTCCCCAAAACACCCTTGGGGGCTGCCCTGCTTCCAAGTCTTGAGTCAAATCCCCTCCCCCCAACCTCTGAAGGCTTTACACATCCTTGATGAGTCCATTCCTGCTTCGTCAAAAAAAGGCTCACCTGTTTATGATCCTCTGATGAAATGCAGGGGTTCTACAGCCACACAATCCTACCTTGAATCCCAGGTTCGCTGTTAACCCACGCCTTGGCTTGGTCACCTGTGATGTGGGGCTGAGAGCGATGACCTCATGTATATGAAACATATACCAGCGTATTCTGAGTGTGAACCAATGGGCACGGCTGCATGGTGTTTGCCAACAGCCATTCCAGGTGGGAGTGACGGAGCAGCAAACCCACCAGCCACGGCTGGACACTGCCTGCCTCCAGCTACTCACAGCCGTGCAAAATACAACAGCATGAAATAAATCACTCCAACAACCTTGACATTCCCCAGTGCCCTGACTGCCCATGAGACGGAGCCTAGAACGTCTGCTGGGCACCCACCCCTCGGCTCTGTGCCTCCCTCCAGCCCCTCCCAGCCCCCCACAGACAGCATAGTCAGTTCCTTACCTGGCTTCCTGCCCCTCGCACTGGCGCCTCCCAGGTCCCCGTGATGTCCTTGTTGGGCTGTTGGCCGCAGGAACAAGTTAGGGAGCTGGTCCGGCCCTAACTGGAGCCAGAGCTGCAGTCTCCTCTCGGCTGGGCCTCAGTCTCCCACCCCACAGCCCGGAGCCCATTCTCGGCTGGGCCTGACCCCTCCCCTTCCCCTCACCCCTGGGTTATTCTCAGGAATCCTACTGACCAAGACAAAAACAAACAAACAGCGGCTTTTCAGTCTCCAGCCTCATTTTCCTCTGTGACTCGCTCTCAGTGTCTGCCCTGGCCTTGTTCACATAAATACCAGGCCCCGTGTGGCCGCTGGCACGGCGTCCTCCCAACACCCCATTGGCTCGGCTCAGAGGGGAAACATTTGTTTTTGATTACGGCGTCTTTTAACAGCAAGCGGCTGTGCCTGGCTCTGCTCTGAGCAGGAGGCAGAATCTGGGAAAATGAAGGCACCAGGGGCCCAGGGAAACCCCACCCACTATGCCCCGACCCTCTGACCCCTGCAGGTCAACAAAAAAACTAGGGCCCAGGCTCTGGTGGAGCCGGTATCCCATATGGGTGCTGGTTCCAGTCCCGGTTGCTCCTCTTCTGATCCAGCTCTCTGCTCATGGCCTGGGAAAGCAGCAGAGGATGGCCCAAGTGCTTGGGCCCCTGCCCCCACGTGGGAGACCCAGAGGAAGCGCCTGGCTTGGGTGTGGCCCAGCCCTGGTCATTGCAACTATCTGGGGAAAGAACCACCAGATGGAAGATCTCTCTGTGTGTGTGTGCCTCTGTCTCTGTAACTTTGTCTTTCAAATAAATAACTTTTAAAAAGAAAAATAAAAAATTCTTTCTGGGGGTCAAAGGCACCCCGACAAGGGAGTCACTGTCACCTTCCCCCTAACTCCAGGATGACATGGGACATCAACGGGGGCTGCTGCTTTGCCTGTGAGAGTTTGGTCCGGGCACTCCAGTCTTCCCAGCCCTGTGCTTTGGGAGCTCTGAGTATCAGAGTCTTTTTTGTTTGTTTGTTTTGAGAGGCAGAGTTAGACAGTGAGAGAGAGACAGAGAGAAAGGTCTTCCTTCCGTTGGTTCACCCTCCAAATGGCTGCTACGGCAGGCGCACTGTGCCGATCCGAAGCCAGGAGCCAGGTGCTTCCTCCTGGTCTCCCATGCTGGTGCAGGGCCCAAGGACTTGGCCATCCTCCACTGCCATCCCGGGCCACAGCAGAGAGCTGGCCTGGAAGAGGAGCAACCGGGACAGAATCTGGTGCCCTGACTGGGACTAGAACCCGGGGTGCCGGTGCCGCAGGCGGAGGATTAGCCTAGTGAGTCGCGACGCCGGCTCAGAATCTTTTCAAGTGAAGACTTTGCCAGAACAGCTAGGGAACAGTTCGATGCGGCCTGGTATCAAGGTCTAACGTGTCATCAGTGCTGTAGACCTTCACCTGCCCATGAAAGCAAAGGGGGAGGTACGGCCAGGGACCTTGATGAACTGGAGGCCACAGGCAGATGCCCCCTCCAGCCTCTGCCACCCCCAGGACTGGCTCTGCTCTGCACATGCGCAGGGCCGGGAGAGGCGGGTGCTTGAGAGGGTTGGGAGGGAGTGGGCAGGGGGAGAAGGAAGCCGCTAAAGAAAAGCCTGCAGGAGGTCCGGGCTGCACTGGGGCGCGGTGTAGATGCTCCACCTTCTTCATGCCTCATTACCCTCCTGTGAGCTGATGACTGTGGAGAGAGGACAAAGATAGAAATAGAGGAAGGGGGATGCCGTGGGCATGGGAAGCAGGAATGCATTACTAAATGCACCCCGGGGCGAGCGTCTGGGGCTTGCAGGCAGCTGGGTTCCAGTGGCTCTGCCTCGGCTAATAAGCACCGTGGGAGGCAGCAGCTGTAGCTCAGGTACCTGACTTCTTGCCACCCACGCAGGAGACCCCCCAGTAGACTTCCTCCTTCCTGGTTTCAGCCTGACCCAGCCCAGGTTGTTGCAAGCATTGGGGGAGTGAACCAGGTAAAGGGAAATCTCTCTCTCTTTTTCTCTCTCTGCCTTTCAAATAAAATGAAAATACATATTTTTAAATGGCCCCTGGAGATGTGTCTTTTACCCTTCTCTTCTTCCCTCCCTGAGTTGGAATCCAGACAGGCAGCTGGCAAGGAGCATGGTTCATCCCAAGTGGAGCCTGGCTTCGCTCTTGTTTGGAACGTATTCAGCCTTGGAATTCCGTGTCTCATCCATGCGGCTTCCCTCCAAGCATAATCGCCAGGAAGGAGGATTTGTTGGGCTGGGAAAGCCAACGGCTGTTTCCTCCCTCCAGAGGCGTGGGGGCGGAGGAGAACGTGGTTCACGCTTTACCTAGACTGCTGCACACCTGGAAACCTCGCACACTAACAGGGCCACGCAAGTCAAAGCGAATTTCGAGAAGTTATTAATAATATCTGTGAGGACAGTCACTTTAGATGTCTAGGAACTGCATTTCTGATTTGCTGTCACTGCGCAGGCTGTCCACACACGGCCCACCCTCCACCACGCCCTGCACCTGCACCGAGAACCCCGCCGAGGAAATCACTCTCCTGGAGCCGCCCGGCCCCGCAGCTGGGAGCACGGCTCCTTACGGGCGTTTCACCTGCCTGCGGGTCCACGTAGGTTCCTTCCTGTTTGCTGTGCTCCCAGACCCTGGCCCCTCTGCCCGCAGCGGTCACCGCGTGGGGCGGGCGTCCCTGGGCCAGTCCTCAGTCCCCTCCCAGCGCGCGCCCCTGGGAGAGGCTGCGCGGTGGGTGCAGTGGGGCCCAGGCTGCCGCTGAACCTGCGCTTTCGCGGAGGCCAGTGTGGGTCCTGGACTCCAGGGTCTGCCGTGCGCCGTGCTCCTCCTGGGCCAGGCTTCCTCCTTGCTCTGGCCTCGTGGGTCAGCGCGAGGCTGGTGGGAAACGCTGACTTCCTCTGGCTCTTTGTCCTGGCGCGGAAGCCGAGCAGTCCCTGCTGGGGTGTGACTGAGCACAGCAGCTGGCCCAGGGCTGGGAGGAGGCCGGCTGGGGGAGATGGGAGGCCTCAGGGAGAGGGGCAGCGAGGGGACTCCCCGCGGGCCTTGCATCCTGTGTCTGTTAGCCTCTGGGGAAGGCATTCTGGGACTGGCTTGCCAGTTTTCACAAACTTAATGATTAGGATACTGGCTTTTTGCGCCTGGGTTTCCTCCTTTCTAAGAAAGGCAAAAGCACTTGGATTGAATTAAACTTAGCTGCAGATTCCCTTTTGTGGGCCCCTAGACAGAGTGCTCCTCCCTTCCCACACAAGTGTCCCAGTAGGTCACCCGCCTCTCCTCTGGCTTTCCTCCTTCTCCTTCCCTTGCTGCCTTTTTACCATTTTTGCAACCTTCTTTACAAATTTATTTGAAAGGCAGAGAGAGCGATTTCCCATCCACTGATTCACTCCCCAAATGCTCCCAAAAAGCCAGGGTTTGGCCAGGGGTGGGATTTGCCAAAGGTGGGAGCCAGAGAGGCAAACCCATTAAGACATTCACTTCCCATATATATATATATATATATATATTTTGACAGGCAGAGTGGACAGTGAGAGAGAGAGACAGAGAGAAAGGTCTTCCGTTGCGGTTGGTTCACCCTCCAATGGCCGCCGTGGCTGGCGCGCTGCAGCCGGTGCACCACACTGATCCGAAGCCAGGAGCCAGGTGCTTCTCCTGGTCTCCCATGGGGTGCAGGGCCCAAGGACCTGGGCCATCCTCCACTGCCTTCCCGGGCCACAGCAGAGAGCTGGCCTGGAAGAGGGGCAACCAGGACAGAATCCAGCGCCCCGACTGGGACTAGAACTTGGTGTGCCGGCGCCGCTAGGTGGAGGATTAGCCTATTGAGCCGCGGCGCTGGCCATACCATATATTTTTTTAAAGATTTATTTATTTACTTGAAAGTCAGAGTTACACACAAAGAAGGAGAAGCAGAGAGAGGTCTTCCATCCGCTGGTTCACTCCCCAAAAGAGTGCAATGGCCGGAGCTGTGCTGATCCAAAGCCAGGAGCCAGGAGCTTCTTCTGGGTCTCCCACATGGGTGCAGGGGCCCAAGGACTTGGGCCATCTTCTACTGCTTTCCCAGGCCATAGCAGAGAGCTGGATCGGAAGTGGAGCAGTTGGGACATGAACCAGTGCCCATAAGGGAAGCTGGTGCTGCATGTGGTGGCTTTATCCACTACACTACAGCACCGGCACCTCACTTCCCATCTTGAAGTACCCAACTCAGCTCCTGACACCAGCTTCCTGCTAATGCATGCCCTGGGAGGCAGCAGGTGATGGCCCAAGTGCTTGGACCCTCACCACCCACACAGGACATCTGGATAAAGTTCTAGGCTCCTGGCTTCAGCCTGGTCCAGCCTTGACTGCTGCTGGCATTTGGGGAGTGAACCAATGGGTGGAAGGCCCCTGTGTCTGTGTCTCTCCTTCTGTTCCTCTCTCTCTCTCTGCTTCTCAAATAAAGAGGCAAATAAGTATATAAAGTGTTCCACATTCCTCTTTATAAATTGAAAAAATAACTTTTTACCCCTTCCCATGTCCTGTTTTTTTTTTATTAAAATTTGTCTTCCTATGTGGTTGTATGTGTGTGTGTATATATATATGACATACACAGAGAGAGGTTTAGTATAAACGAAGATATGCGACTCAACTCATTAAATTATTTTCTCATTAGAAATATTAGCAGTATTTTAAAGGTGTGACATCACTGAAAAGCGTGAAGATTTACTGCAGATTTTGAGGGCATTTAGGAAGTGAGACGAGAGAAAGACAAAGCTGGACTGATCGGGGAGTTTGGGGTAGTGCTGACTTGGAAGCACCTGGGAAAGCTCGGAAGAGCAGCACCAAGCAAGGGGCAAAGCAACAGGAGTTTCCCCGAGAAGCTGGCTTTTAAGCTGAGCCTTGAAGGACGGGAGGAATTTCACTGGGTGGACAAGTGGGAGGAAGCAGAGGTTTTTCAGGAGCTGTGTTGGTTCTGAGTCTGCTGCGTATCTGCAGTTGTGCATTTGTGTGGGAGACTTGAGGACACTGCCAGGCAGGCGGAACCACCCCAAGATGAAGCTAGACAGGAAAGCAAGACCAAGTTCCAAGGACACTTGGCAAACCGTCTGAGCGTGTCCCCTCTCTATCACTTGTTGGGACTCAGCCCCAACATGACAGTGTTAAGATGGGGGCCTTTCAGGAAATAAGGCTTGGTCTTCCTGAATGGGCTCGGGACCCTGAGGACAGAGGCTGAAGGGAGCTGTGCACCCCTTCCCCAACGTGAGGATGTGTAGCAGGTGCCATGGAGGTGGGCGCCATCTGGGGCACAGAGAGCAAGCCCTCGCTGAACTCCATGTCGGTCAGCTCCTTGACTTCCCAGCCTCCCAATGACCCACTGACGTCTGCTACCTACAAATTACCCAGTCCTAGGTATGTTTATTATAGCAGCAT